TCAAGGCAACCGCTATTGAACCTATGCTTTTGCGACGAGTTTCAAGTACAGGATACGTGCCTAGTAATGCATAATTTGATAATAGGACACTGGAACAAACACTAGCCTCTTATCGAACAAGTAAAACCGCCATTAAAGGCATTCTGCATAGGCCACCTGGGTAAAAAGAAGCTAAGAAATCAAGGTCATAGATACCTTTCAAATTTATCTTTCTTTCGTCACACGACACAATCCTTTTAACACCTTATGGCAAAACCTAAAACCCTCCAAGTGCAACATGCAGTGCACCATAGAAACGGCAACACCAAGCACTAAATGGATCGGTTGTGAGTATGAATTTCATACAAACTTAACATAAACCAAAACGAGCTCCAAGCAAGGTCCACTTAATCCACAACCACCAACCCTAAAATGTCCATTGTGGTTGGCCATTTTCAAGTAAATGAATTAGCCGCCGCATCCCTTACGAATTAGGTAAACTAGTATCACAGGCCACCACAAACTTGACTTCAGCGCGTGTATACCGAGATGCAACTGCATCTCGTAGAGTTATACACTTTTACAAATGAGAATCTGACCCAAGGAGGCATTAGCCCTCTTGCTGATTTAAATGTGATAACTATTGCAAAACCCAACATTGGGTTAAACTGTCACTCTAGTATTTGATATCGAAATCCTATTCATTTGAATAAGAAGATGAAAATGATATTAAACACTTCAACTGAAGAAACACTAAACCGAGTTCTGAAACAACAGCAGAAGGTGGTGCTGCATGCTTCCTTGACATCATGTGCTCGGAAAAGCGGAAGTTCGAAGAGTCTCCTTGGTCTCATCCACAAGTTTTCTTCGTGGTCTACTGAGAACGAATGCAGCATGGTCCCACGTCGCAACTGTTGCTTCCATACGATATCCAGACTCCCCTCGCTGGGATAAACGAAATCTAGTTCGACCACCTGGATAAGAAATGGCTATATTAGCTACTCATGAAGCCTCCACGGCGCAAATAACACAGGAGAAAATCTCACCCATACATACTAAAAGCAACAATCGTAAGGTTGGCAACAGATCGCTTGCCCTCTTATGCCCTCTTATGCGCAACTTCTCCAATATGGATATTGCTTCAGTGGCTATGCATGCCACATCAGTGGACATTCTAGAGTAAAAGATACAATCAAATTAGCAATTAAAAAGGATTGATTCAAGAAATATAAACCATAAGATCATAGGCTAATATCGAACACTCACGAGTGAGAATTCTTATTCCACACCTCCCACAGGCTTGGCCCGAGTATATCCATTACCTACAGGCGATCATTAATATGCTTAACGGACTATTACAACTTAAAAGAAGACAGGAGAAACTATCTGATGCTGCAAACCACAAAGGAAATAGCAGCAGATCATGACATAGAAAACACTCTGCCGACCCTTGTAATGTATTCTTAATATACCATGACTACTTTCGAGAGTGCTGTGCATATATGCCAGAAAAAAAAATGTATAGTTCAACAGAATGTGACAAAAAGGAGTAATAATATAATAGGACAAGAATACTTACTTGTAGACTTGCCATTCATGAGTGGGCCGTAGTTGTATCCTTTGCTACTTCTATGCTCAAATTTCAATGCCACCTTGTAGTGTACTCTTAGTACACCATGACTACCACCGAGATTGTTGTGTATATATGACCGAAAAAAAATGTAAAGTTTAATAACAGAATGTGACAAAAAGGCGTAATAATATAATAGGACAATAATACTTACTTGTAGACTTGTCATTCATGAGTGGGCCGTAGTTGTATCCTTTGCTACTTCTATGCTCAAATTTCAATGCCACATGTGAAAAAAAAATGTTAATTGAATCATAAGAAAAAGATATGCACACTATGGCAATCAAAACTGGAGCAACATATGCACCTCTACAATTCCTGGCCCAGTAATAATATCACTTGAGCTTCCAGTAGAAACACATCGGCCAACATAGACTTGGCCAAAACCGCCTTTTCCCAATTTTCTGTCTATTATGTACACTGGGGAGCCACCAACTTGGACTTGAGATAGAATTTATGAATGTTTCCAAAAGAAAATACATAGATAGTGCATGTGCACGAGTGCTCCCCAGAATTAGAACTGATGCTATAGAAACTACCAACTTATACGTGGAGGGAACCATAGGTTCCCAGCATTAATAGAAAAGGTCCACTATCAAGAAGTGACATAGCCAATTCTATTGGTCGCAAATTTTAATCACCAACTGATGACATTAAAGAATTTGTACATGACGGATTTCTATGTTCATAATTTCCTTTTCAGAGAACCATCGTTAGAGCACAATCTCTCTTTTATTTGTGCAAAATCCAGCCAAAAGTCAATCCTCTTTTGTTCTTCCCCCACCTTAAAAAACTCCCAAATCTATGTGCATATTTCAATCATAATAGAAAACGTCATACCCACTTATCTGCAGGCCACTCCTATTTTTGTTCTTGCTCTTTTGTTTTGCAGCCAGCATGAACTTTACTTCCACCATTTGCAATCTCTACATATCACCATTAACAAGTTTGCCATTACAGAATATATTGAGCAGAAAAAGTTTCTTGAGACACAAATCATGATAAAAAGTCAGATTTAGTATCACGCAGTCGAAGTAGCTTTCGCATGAATGGTCAAACAAATCAAGCCCCTCATCGAACAATTCGACAGAAACATAACATCTAGACAAACAGCCCCGACTTTGTCAAAACCCATCAAAATAAGAAAACAACATCAGGTTTCTTAGTTTGCATTTGGCATGTATAGCTTCTTAACCATCAACTAAAATTGCACGAACACGAATCATTGTGATAACGAGATTATTAGTATGGCAACCATCCTTGGGATACATTGAAAGATCAATGTCCAGTCTCCACTCAGTGGAGATGCAAGTCGCTCAGTGACAAAGTTTTTCTCCCTTACCGTGCAAAGTCGAGATTCTAAAATAATAGTATCCCACCACTCAATACTAATAGTAACAACCAACAACACATACAGCTAACATACAGTTCTTCTCCTTCATTTGAGGACAGCGTTATGCTATATTTTATTTCTCAGTGATTCTCCATTGAAAATCTTATGCACGAGAGAGAGAGAGAGAGAGAGAGAGAGAGAGAGAGAGAGAGAGAGAGAGAGGAGCGAGAAAATCTTACTATGCGCTGAGGAGGAGGAAGGAGAAACCCTAATCCGTCTGGTGAAGAAATGCAAGTACTCAGATCACTCTCGTTTTTCCTTTGAAAAAATATTAAAAACATTTTCAATTAACAGAAGGATTATAGCGTAATACTTAATGTTTCCACAATTAATTCATTCTATAGTCTAATTATTCAAATAAATTCCCTTTTTTGTGCGTGTGTAACGCATTTGCCTTTATACGGTGTAGTTTAAACATAATCACGTTCTATCCTAATTTAAGTATTAATGGAAGATCTAAAGTAGACGTGAACTATAATAAACTATATTAATGGGCCGCTCAATTTGTTTCTTCCTTTCTATTTTTTCTTTATCAACGTTTTTGGTTCGAAGCTCTTGGCTCGTTAACGAGAATAAAGATTAAGCCTCCATTTGTTTTGCATAAAATGAACGATTTGGAAAGTATTTTCTGAAAAATAATCACTTGTATCACTTTCGAAAACGAATGAACGAAAAATATTATCATTATCTACAAAAATGTTTAGAACAGGGGATGGCAACAGTGGCTCACGTGGGACTAATTTGATCTCAGGCGGGCGCTATGTCAACGAGCAATCCCAAAAAACAAAAAAAGGAACAAAAAGCATAAAGCATGAAAGCCCAGGAAAAAAAAATTAGAACAGGGGGTGGCAACAGTGACCCTCGTCGTTATTGCTTGAATGACGTTGCGTTGCCGCCTCATCTTCACCGGTGAGGTCTTATAGGCCCTTGCATGGTGTTGGTAAGGCATCACCACCGTGTGAGGGCCCTCGCTTGTGGCTGACGAACGTGGGGCTGCGGTGCCGTATTACATTTAGCCCCAATTTCTATTGCTTTTATTTTTTTGGCTTATTTTTATTTTTCCCTTTTTTTTTATTTCCTCACGTATGACCCACTTGACATCAAATTATCGCCGCATGACCTTAAAAGCCGTGCTATTATTCCCCTTTACTCAAATTGGACGGAAATGACACAAAGACTTAATTGCGATTTTTGCTAAGTTTTAATATTTCAGCGCACAAATTTAAAATTTTAGCACTCGATTACATTTTCATTACAAGTTTGAAGACTTTAAAAGCGTTTATCCCATCTTTTCAAGTATCTCAACATTTTGATATACGCTCTCGAAGTTCTGTTTCTTGATTCAAATTCAAACATCCTTCTCATATGTCACTTAGGATATAAATTGAAAAGTTCACAAATTATCGCTCCAACATGTACCGAATGTTTCATGTAACATTTTTTTACCATGTATCATACTTGAGCGTGCTTTACCTCATATCCTTTAGGATACAAAGATCTACACCTGGATTCGGATTCATGCACAAAACGTGACATTGCATTCAAGCCCAACATCAACACTGCATGCCTCGTTTCTTCTCCAATTGCATAAAGAAATTACGCAACATAAGAAGGTCAGCAACTGCTGTCAACCACTGTCTTCCACAATGCTTCCCAGCCCACATTTGCCTCAAGAAGTCATGCCATACTCCGCACATTTCTTCCCCAACTAGCATGCGTTTGTCACCGGCAAAGACCGAACGGGCAAATTAGGTGCTCTGATAGAAGATTAACTGATCCAATATGCAAAAAGCTAGGCTCTTGCGTATGTTTCTTGGCCAACGAAAGATTCGGATACTTGGGTTACGGCGCTTTGACAGAGCAATGGCGGACAGCTTAGTAAAGGAGTAAATTAGGATGACTTGACACGACCCAAATGTTTTTTTCCCCTTTTCAGGCCTTGCTTTTGTGACAATCTGTGTTAACCCGTGATTCCCCATGGGACAAAAAGAATGCCAGTTCAAAAAATAGGGTCGGCAATCCATTTTGCCGACTTTAGAACACTTCATCACTATATTATCTTCGCCGTGTCTATTTTGTATCTGTCACCAACATGAAACTTCATTCCTATCATGTTAAGATGCTTATATCGGGGTGACGAATGTGCAAGAAAATCCACCCCGTGTAATCTAATAACTCAGAAATCAATTTAGCTGGTGATTCTTTGCCTCATCCACTTAGTAGCTGACCATTTCTCGCCGGCTAGAACCTCGCATCCTCCATGTATGCTCTTTGGATCCGATTGTCCATCTAGTCCCTGAAAAGAAATGAAGATAAGCCAAGATCAAAATGAAGAATTTGTCCTGCCAATCACATGGGGCCAAAAAAGAAAATATAATACCCAGCATCAAACTTGGACTCGGGGGACTTTCAAGGAAAAAATTGCGAGTTTGGTTAGTCTAACATCTCATCCACTCAGCATATCTTGATTATCTTTCTCTCACAACTTACAACTACAAATCAAAGTCTCCTCCTTACAGTAAGAGTAACTGAGTCCCAAAACTTTGCATTCCTAATGCTACGTTCCATCAAACCACAAGCAATGCAATCTTCAGTCATCTCTCTTATCACTAATATCCCGAAGAAATGACTATTTAGATACACATGCGAGGCCACACAAAAACTCAGCATACTCACAACTTACAACTACAAATCGAAGTCTCCTCCTTCCAGTAAGAGTAACTGAGTCCCAAAACTTTGCATTCCTAATGCTACATTCCATCAAACCACAAGCGATGCAATCTTCAGTCATCTCCCTTATCACTAATATCCCGAAGAAATGACCATTTAGATACACATGCAAGGCCTCACAAAAACTTGGCATACTAAAGCAACTTGATGAACTTATCTGAAGACCAGAGGTTTCTACTACATTGTAGTCCCTGGACGCCAAACCATACCTAACTTCTCCCGTCTATGTAATGCTGGCATGAATGATTACTAAGTGATTTTCCTTTAATAAAAAGGCACTCTGACATGTGTGCCGACACATGATATCTACGTAAGCAAGAAACACCCAACTCTAGTAACAAATAAATTGAGACGAACCATGCTCCAGAAGAGCACTGCATCTCCTTTCACTGGCTTCACTGATAAGCCCTTCACCATCTTTCCGCCACAGCTACATTCACCTGTTCCAGCCTATAAATGCAAACACCGAGTCAACGAAAAAAACCAGCCTCTAATACAGAGATAATAGACAGCAGCAAATGATAAAATTCAAGAGCACTTCATGCCAATTTATCGGTCAATGCTGGCCACGTCACATGTATCAATGTAATATTAAGAAAATGCTAGCCCGTGAAGAGAAAGCAATGTCCATTACGAATTTGATCCAAAGCTTGCCTCAAAACCAAGTTGATTATGCAGCAAACCAAAGTAGGAACCATGAGATGCCAAATTTTAAACATAGTAGAAAGCATAAAAAAAAGGCATCAGACAGGGAAGGATGCCAAAAGTTGGGCAAACAAAATCACAGAAGTAGAGCAATTGCACAGACTCCTCTCTCATACGCTCAACTAAATTGGTGGTAACATAGAGTAGAGAATTCAACAAATTACTATAGACAACCTAGACAGTACAGATCAAGAAAAGAAAGCCCTAGAAGGCCTCAACCCTCCCCTCCCTATAAAGCAGCTCCATATTGTATGCCAGCCAATGTTATGGAAGAGAATCTGATCCTCCACATCATTGTGTTGTCCACATGATCAATGTCATTCCAATTTGATATGGGAATTTTGATCATTATATGCTCCGAAATCAAAACAGATACATGTATAATGCATAGAAAAAATTAGTTAAGAAATGACGCAGACATTGAGAAATGCATATTTCTTATCAAAAGTAAAGTTTCTGAAGGTCCTTCGTATTCAAACCATGACTAAAAAATACGAAATTTACTTGCCCTGGTAAAAGATTGGAACTAAAATGGCTGAGTTACACAAGTATATAAACAAATGGGAGCTTTCAGGCAGTAACCATATCCAGAAAAACACAAGTTGATTCATATATAATTGGTGGCCAGAGAGCATTAGAAAGTTCCAGTTATCTGAGCATTTACAGAAACAAGATACCCGTAGCACTGTTTTATGACCTGAATGAAATTTGTTGGATCTAAACTGGACCTTATGAATTAAACGATTAAGGTGCTATGTATCAATTTAATTAATTCATCTAAGAGTTGGCCCATTTTTAGCTAAGTGTAGTGTCAATTATATTTATGAGAAGCAACTTATATCAATCTAAATCCAAATGATGACATCAACAGAACAGACACTGACAGTGCCCAAATAAGTTGCATATTGATGGAAATTTAGAATCGACGTGGAAAAATACTTACCATAGGAAAATAAGTTTCTCCTCCCTCCACATTTTCACTCAAATACATAAGCACTGTGGCTACTCGCTGACCACCGCGCTGCAAGTTGAACTACAAAAGGGGAAAATAAAATATATTTCAGTTTCATAAATAGGCAACACATCTTTATACAACAAGATGACAGTGCAAGACGAAGCAAAAGAAAGTACAACAGCCAAAAGAGATTAAATGGACTTACAGTGTCAGAGAAGTAATCGTGGTGTGGCTTGTAATACTGATTCTTTTCATACCTGTGCTTCTGGAGATGTTAGCTTGGATACTGAAACATATTAGTCTTCTGCTCAGGAGCAACAGCTTACAGGAGAACGAGTGAATTCCTACCTTAAGACTTGAATGAGCTCCCCATTCTCTATAGGAACTTGAGCATAGACAGAAATGCGCTTTTCAATTGCCTGAATTTGATAAAAGAAATGATATTGAAAACCTCATTTTGAGAAAATGCTCCACAGTTCCCCCATAATAGAGAAGGCAAATCGCACTAGATGTCACTTAGTTGTATTGGTAAATACTGGCACCATTTCCAGGTTCAAAGAATAGACTTATGATCCTGAACTAACCTGCACCATAGGAAATTTCCTCTCTTCGTGATTCAGAAACATACCAGAGCTTGTCCTAACTTCACTCCTGATTCCCTGGTCAAAAGTCACAGAAAAGTACACACTAGAGACTCAATATCATCCGATTGAGATTATCAGCACTATTTAAGATAAATCAACGAAATACCAAATCTAAAAAAGAGAAAAAGAGTAGACCTTCCCCGTTTTTGAATCCACCACTGTAGAAACCTGAAGCCTCGGAAGGGCAATGCCTCGGAGATAGTCACATTCCTGCAACATAAACAAAATTCCAATTAACCAGCTGTAGGTATCAGCAGAGTGCATCCTCAGATTTCAATAGCAAACAATGTTTCCTATTCTCCTAAGTAGCTACATATGCACAAGCAAAACTATGATGCTATTCATCACAAAATGATACAACAACCATAAGCCAAGTCTTATCCCACTAACAATTCAAAAAATTTGTAAAATGTTCTATCAAAGAGTTGGCCAATTGTTAATCCATTCATGGCCACGACAGAAGATATAGTTAATCTCTTCATACCCTTCAAAAATTATTTTAAAGGAATTATGGTAAGGCTGCTGCTCCATCTTGTTTTCCTTGGAAACTAAATAAACATCATATAGCCAATGTTCTTCAGACAAACCTCCAACTCCTACAGGGGATATAAAGTAGGGTCATCTTGTTCCAGAAAAGGGGGGGACAAAAAGATTCTCTGCATTACCAACAGCTTGTTCAAGCCAAACTGCAGATCTTAACAAGCATCATACATGTCCTTATCCAGAAAAAGAAAAGAATCTTATGTCTGAGAAGGATTTTAAGCTATTGCTGCAAGTCTCCGGCAACAATTATCTCAAACTTATCAAAAGACAAACGCTCACGACTCGATAAGATTCCAGACATGGAGATTTAAACTGTATTAATTTATCCAATTGAATCAAGGTTGGAGACAATGAATCCATGAGAACTGTCGCAACAATAAGACAGCAAACATGCAGAAGGCAAAAATGTGATCTTCATCAAGTGTAGCAACGTAAATCTCCTTGCACCATTTATTAGCCCTATTTAGTATAATGTTCCTTGTGTTGTGGTTCATTTAGGTATGCAGTGCAGTTACGGGTACGTGGAAGGCTAGTATCTCCAGTTCATTGTACAGGAGGGTAGGCTTAGTTGGATAGTGCTTTGGGATTTGTGATCTGCTCAAAGTGGTTTGCAGTTACGAACAGTTTTCTTTGAGCTCAAGACAAGTATTAAGAGATGATGTACATTATAATGAAAGCTTTAGGAAAGGACCAACTGTCGTCATCAATTACATACCTTCATCCAGGAACATGAATGAAAAAAAATGTGCCTCTAGCATTTGTGTGTTGTTTTTATTAAAGTAATCAATACTCAAGCTAGTTTAGAAACAAATACAGTAAAGTCTACTCTCTTCTTAATAAGACAGTCAACAACGTAATGGAAAGATAAAAACAAAGGGAAAGCATATTCCACAATCATTATGCTGCCAAGTCCTAGTCCTTAATTCTTCAGCAAGTAAAATTTAAGAAAAGAAAACGCACACACACGTTGCATATCATTCACGATATTATTTTTTCGATTTTTCCCTGTGCATCAGCACCATTATCAATACGAGCTTGTAGTAATCATCAAGGTTGCTCCACAGTCCTAAAAGTTGGAATTGATTCTAGAACTAGAGGAGGCTTCAATACATTTGACGGCATGGCTTCACCAACTTCATGAATTTTACTAGGGTCAAAGTCATAGTCACATACAAATGAGCACCACTTCATCTCGTCTAACTTGAGAGTAGAATTATCTACAGAATCGTCTTCCGATTTGATCATGCACCTTTCAGTAAAATATCTAACAAATAACAAAGTGAAACAAAAACATTTTATTTGCTCTACTAGAATTTGACCTGTTTCTCTTCACACTATAAATGTAGGAATGAAGTACTCAAGCTCCGCTTGGCCGAAAGCTTGTTATAGGTTGAGACAACATTTTTAGCCAACCCTACCCTCCCCCACCCCCTTGAACCACGAACAAGAGAAACTAGCATTCAGCATACCTATAACCATACCATGTACCAAGAAAGTTGTTCTTTCTTTTCTCTAGCTTGAATTCCAAAGGACGATCTTTTAGATTGAAAATGGAGAGATTCCACCTCATCTACTTGTTTACTTCTTCAAATATGATCTTGGAACCGAAAACTTTGCATGAAAAATTGGCCTACATCAATATGCTCAGTTATTATTCCCTAACCAGTACATTAAAATAATAGTAATTTATAGTACCTAAAATGGAGAGATTCCACCTCATATACTTCAAAGGTTCGACAAACAAGGTGGTCAATAGTTGTGACCTAGATTACCTATCATCACCTTATGATATGCAAAAGCACCACAATCTTAGAGGTATATTCCAACAAGGTTCAATATATAGAGCATTCAAACTCGCAATATTTCTAATGATAACATGAATTGCCCATGAAATGAAATCTTCAATCTTTTGTTTAATTAAGATGAACTTTAAGGTAAGTTAATCCAACTAATGCAATCTTAGTACTGCTCACAATTTAACACATAAATTATTGGAAAATGCAGTAGTACATGTGATGATAGAGATACCTCCGTGCTTAAAAAGTTGTGTAGTACAATGATTCGGGGCGACCAACTAATAATCTCAGGTTTGACCTACAACAAGAAATATATCCATAGAAAACCTTAGAAGATCTACCAACAAAAATATTATATAACAACGCAGTTAATTCGTATATTAAAAGGGCAACATTTCCAAAATTACAAACATCGAGATTTATGAAAACTTTAGATGGTGTGACGCAACATAGGGCACAATAGCAGTAAGGGATGCAAATAGCAGTTGCCACTAAATGTCATCATGAAGGATCATATAAATTTGGAGAGAAAAGATACTTGGGGTCACCGCCAAATAATGTGTAATAAGTGGGATATCATTGTTAATTAAGTTTCCTTGAGATGCAATGGGCTTGTACCAAAGTGTAGTCCTCATGCATTAATTTTGTCTAATAAATCACGTTACTCATGAGAAACAAATGCTGAGAACTTGATTAAGTTGATATATCAGTAAGAATCAAGTGATTTCAATTTATAACAATGGAAAAAGAGAGATAATAGACACTTCTATATAAATGCACTTCCCCTTTTTTTTGTTTTAAAGCAGCTCAAAAGCCAATTAATTTTTTCATGCTCTGCTTATTATTAAGGATTCATTATTATTTCCTTGAGAAAAGAAGATTCTAGTACGTGAGAGATGTGCAATAGCTAAGGAACAAAAGAGCAATCAAACTATAACAAAACTAAGACTAGGACTAGGCACATTAGGCAAAGCGCTCCAAGATTTTGATTATTGAGATTAAATCACTACCAAAGGCATTCAAACAGCTGAATAGCCGGGTACTTTTATAAAAATGAAAAAGGACACCTTTGAAGAGCTAGAGATAGATTCCACAGATTGAGAATGATGTCACCCAAAAGGAGAAGATTATTAAGATGAGCCATTTTGGATGGATAGCAGTCTTGGAGATGATTTTCAACCACTTAAAAGGTTGAGGTGTTAATTGCAAAAATGAGAAGGACAAGAGCGACTCTACAACTGACATGAAAAGTCAAGGGATGTATTTGCAGTTAAGTAAAGACAATAACATTAAAACTTGTGCCATCACTTGAAGACTCTTGGCCAGTAATTTAGGAAAGGGAAAAACTCTGTTTGTCCACCCAATTGCAGAGGCTAATGTGTACATTCAATCTCTGAAATGGGAGTTACCCCATAACGGAACAGGTTGTATGCAGAATATAACAAGCGAGCATTCTCCACTAGTTGTATACGATAAAAACAATACCAAATTAACTCTCTACTTACATAACCAAGGCGCAAGATTTCAGCTTCTTTATCATTTTCCCAAAATGAAATGCCTGGAAAAATGCCAAAAAAATTTGGCCTTAGTTATACTAAAAGGACAATACGGAAAAATATCACGTAATGCAGCTTCTGTAATATACCTTGTGCAGACTTACTGAAACAAAGCAAAAAAGTTTAACTGATACGGAGATTTGATGTAGGACAATGAGTGCACAACAAGTAATAAATCGTTAGGCTTCATCACACCCAAAAATACCTAAGTGTCACACATAGGGTTTTTGAAGCATCACACCTAAGAGAAGAATTGTATCACACAATTCCAAAGCAAAGAACTGCCAACTCAAACAACCATCAAGTCTAATCAAAAGAAAGAATTAACTCGATGTACATAGACTCTCTAAAGTACTGAGAGTACTCCAAGTCAAGATAGGAAACCCAAAATATTCTAATAAAACTAGGAAATACATATCCACCGCCAACTATGAAAAGGAAACATTAAATCCAATTCCAACTAGTAAAAAGGTAACTTATTAAATTCCTAATAGACTCCAAACACTAAATGAAATTCCAAATCAATCAAAGAAAATAAACAGCATATCTTCATCTTGCACGCCTTTTCCAAGTCTTCAAAGGTTGTTGCCATTGTTCTCCATCAGATTTTTGGGCTTACTTTTTAGTGGAATACATAGAATTTGATATCCCATTGTACAAGTAAGGTTTTTATTGGTGCAAAGGGAAAAGAAGAAAATTCTTAGGCTCCGCTTGTTTCACACAAAATGATATTTAGGAAAACATTGTCATTTTTTTTCTGTGTTTGGTGTGTGGAAATTGAGTTAATGGAGGATATTGTTTTCAACTGGTGGGAAAACTCCAGTTCAAAAAAGAGCAAATGACTTTCTCGAGTTAATTCCAGAAGTCATTTTCCATCAACTTGCGAAAAGATTTGCATGCAACGGCACTTCAGTGATAACTCAAGTGTACTGTTAAATTACAACATGTCGTTGCAATTAAGTACAAAAACATCGTAACAAACTGTAAAAGTGATTTATGATATTATCAAAAATCTTTGTAACCAAATGTAAAACAGTCTTAAAAAGAGTGGGCGCGCGCACTACACTAATATACCTTAGAAATTCCCTTCCATGTGATTCTTCTTTCTTGGTGAACCACCACCATGTCCAATTTTGTTGAGCGCTTGATGATGATTTCTCTGCTCATGTCTTTCTATTTTTATTAACGACTACTACTAAAAAAAACTGACTTATTTGCCACCTGCAATGTGAATACTTTGCAATCTGCAATGTTTTTCAATGTTTCTTTTTTGTTCATTTTGGGGCTTTTCAATCAGCTACGGTGGGCATGTTTCTTCAATTTTCTATTAGAAATAAATAGTTAGGTAGCTGTATCATTTGCCTACTAGATGTTTGTGAAAGATTCTTAGAGAAATTGGACTTGGAATTTTCACCAGCATCGCTGTGTCAATTATTTTATTATTGATAATTACTTTAAAATTAGAGGTGTCTCCTCTCTCTTACATGAGTAAATTGTTCAAGCAAGACCACGGTTACTCTACTTATGAGAGAAAGCGGATTATTTACAATTGAAAGAGATATTTTTGTATCATAAATATATTGATATGATGAGATTCTGCTCAAATCAATAGCCGTATAGAACTTAGATCATCGGCATAGCTAAAATTCCGTTTATAAAAGTAAAATATTTTCATTCCAAATGGGTGAAGATAATTTCGCCATCATTTTCACGAGTTGAGCCAAACATCAAAAGATATTTTAAAATAACTTCATGGGAAACATTTTCCCAAAGCATCACATTTTCCACGAAACAAATGGAGCCTCATTCTCTTGTCAAAATTATTCGACTTCTTAGTTGACTTGACCAAGTTACGATCTTATCTAGTCATGAGCTTTAAAATAAAATTTGCAGTTAACAGAAAAAGACAAAACTAGAAGAAGTCAAGAATTCAGAAGTTGGGACAAGTTGTTCCAACAGTAGGTAATCTTGCATGAAGGGAATGCAACCTTCTTCCAACATTGGCATACTGACTATTCCTTCTTTTTTTCTGGTAAGAATGGTAACTCTTCTTTCACCACCAACCATAATAAAAAGCTCAATCAGCTTGCCTTCAATTCATCAGGGTAAAAATCCCATTCAGCTAGCCCTTTCATATAGACTAGTGACAGGGAAAATTTCAATCTTTCTCTGATAAATGATTGATTAGCACAAAACAAAAAACCATTCACATACATCGGGAGAAACTCAAATGCAATGAGATAATGCATACAGTAAACTCTAAACTCTAGAGAAGCATTATAAAACAACTTCCATTCTCTAGGAGGAAAAAAGAACAGACAATGGCATAAGTATGGATACTTCCATGAATCAATACAGGCAACAAACAATCTCATCGAAAGCATAACTTTGTCCTGGACAATGTAGTCCAGAAGATGCAACCCTGTGCAGGACCTGTATCTTATATTCGCTATGACTACCATGAATAACAGGGAAACAAAGAAAGGATGCTAAAAGTTATCACAGATCATCCTTAATGAGCTCAAGACCACATAAAAGCTCATCCACGAATAAAACCACTATCTGACAATGCCTTTACAATGAAAGACAAGGTATGAACAAGTGAATAACGCGAACCTGTGTACTTCAAAGAGAGTTTAAGCTTAAATACGTACCTCCAGGTAACTTAAGATAGCCATCTTTCTGACTTTTACGAGCTCCTTTAAAAGATGGAAACTTCGTGCCTGTGAATAACAATGCTCTTAGAAGATCGATATGATTCTTTAACAACCCACACGCCACCATACGACCCCTCTTCCCCAACCCTCACAAACCCACACAAACAAGGAAATGACAACCTACAATTGAATAAAGAATATTCTACCATCAAGCATATCCTAGTCAGAGTTTATGCCTTTCTACTCAGACCTTAATATGATATCCACCAATATGGAGACTAACACCAATATGCATCTTGAAATCCAGAATCTACTTTATGAAATACAAGTGAAATTACTGAGGTTGTACTTCTCAACAATATGACAATTCCTTTTTTTAATAACTAAAAGAAAGTCAACTACAGGGACACCACACCAAGAGGGTACAAACCCATTTTCAAAAAGAGCTCAAGAAACCCAAAAAAGAGCTCAATTACAGGACAAAGCGTCTATCAACATATGGAACTATTCATTTATTAGTAATAACCATAGAAAAACTAACAAGCTGATGATTTTAAAGGCAAAAAAAGGTACAAGAAACTTATAAGAAACAATAAAGTCAGAGACAGCTTTACAGTTGCCAGTGACACCATGGCCCAAACTATGTTCAAAACGCATAAAAAAAAGTTAACAAAATAAGCAGAACCCAGTATGGCCCTTGCAATTGATGTGCACAGTTACAGTAAAGAGACAAAAAAAAAACTGACAAAGCTAAATTGAACTTTTAGAGCAAAATTCCAGCAAATCTTTCCTGATAAGTTGTAACAGGTTCTAAGCCTAACCAAACTTCAGGCAAAAAGAGCAAAACATGAACCAGCAAATACCAAGACAAGAACCACCAAAGCAATCATTGTCAAACTTAAAAGTATTCTCAACAGAAACTGAAATGCTTTGAGTTCCCATATTTCTGTAGCTTGTTCTTGTACTGAACCAATCAACCACCCTCTTGCATAAGAAACTAAAGGCGTGAAATTTATAAGCACAAGAAGAACTCGGGAATAGATCACCAGGGAAAATGCTTGGATGGAAATCAACATGTATAAAATCGTGAAATATTTTGTGTACCGTATGAGTCTTCCAGCCGTCGAATAAATGCCAACTGAAGAAAAGCACCTGCACTCTCCCCAAAAGCAAGCCAGGGTTGAAGATTATTAGGCGCAGATTTTATACAGGGAAGTCAATAATAGCCGTCTACAATCAGACCTTGATCAACTACCAAAATATAAAAGGAGTTAAAAAGCAATGTCCCCAAACAGTTCGATGCGATAAATCAACGAAGCTTAGATCCACGCGAATCAAGATCCGGTTCAAACCCCATTGTCCTCGAAGACAGCAGGTCCAGTATTATACGCAAAATTGATTATTCTCAGCTAACACCATTTCAAGAAACGATCAATAAAACGAATCCCTGCCCAAGAATTGCACTTCCCAAGTTTGATAGCCTCTAAATATGAAAATTTTAATCTTGACCCACTTCGTCGGTCGTCGAAAGCATGACTCAAAGGACTGCAAAAGCAGAGATTACCCATCAATCAGAAACCTTACGTACCGATGATCATCCCCACAGTGACGAACGTCAGCAGCCCGAACACAATCTTCATCGCAGGAGCCATTGCCTGTGCAGCATGAACTGCAAACACCCCCGCCTCAGTTCACAGAATCAAGAAAACGAAGGGAGGGGGCGGAGGGATCGCACAGTTGCAAGAATGGAGAAGCGGGCGATCCTTAAAGCCCACCAATTCAATCGAATTACCTTCCCAAGAAGCGGACGCGCGGTGGGTTGACGCGGGTCCGGGTGGTGGTTCGAGCCGAGATCGAGAATCTGCAATGGAGAGATTCTTGTGACTCCGAACCGACAAGATCCTGCGACTTGCCACACCAGAGAGAGAGAGAGAGACTTTCTCCTCGTAGGGTTTACGTTGGGGTTGGTTGGTCAGAAAATGACGGAAGTGGAAACGGAGAAAAACGACAAAGCGTTACCCCAATTCGTACGTTGAGTTTTTGGAATCGGGTCATCCTCGTGTTCCGCCGTCTCCCATGATGTCAGAACAGGCAACTGGCGGGGACCATAGAGGCACCACCGACGGCATTAGCGACAGCCATCCGGGCCAAGAGGGGTAAAGCTCTTTGACGACGGTCTTAGAGTCATCTCAACGAGCTATAGAACGACGGCCGAATGTCACTAGTCGGTTGTAAATATAGAGAGTGAAGAAAAAACCGGATTGGAGATAATTATGATATATCCCTCGATAATTCATGGCCAACTCCTACTCCGATACAAATCATATGGTGATAGGCTGAATTGCGAGATAAGGAATTTTCGTTGTGATTAAGACGAGCCCGAAGTGCGAAGACATTGTGGCAATCGTGATGCCTATTGTCATGGCATGAATTTTCCATACAATTTGAACCTTGAATGAAAAAATAATTCAAAGTGATGTACAAATTTTTTTTAACTATGCATAATCAAAACGTTGCCTACAAAAAATAAACTCCTACTTTTATTGTGCACTCTGATCCGATCCTTAAAAAGATCTTCGGAAGCACTAATCTAAATGTCCTTGAACTCCTAACTTAACTAATTTATAAAATATTTCGGGATAAGTCTTAGATCATTGATCAAAAGGTGTAAATCTAAAATAGGAGATCTACTCACCACTCGAGCATAATAGAAAATTTTTAATCACTCGAGGAATATAACATGCATCCTACATGATTCAAGTGCTAGTAATATAATTTCAATCCAGCATGTTAACCCCTCCATCTTTTGTGAGCACGTACCCTAACGTCGATTTACAAACATATAAAAAGTTCCCATATTCATAAAAGCGATTACAAGCACTAGCCAACCGTGTTAAATTTCCCTCAAAACTCGCCCACTAAGCAGATCAACATACTCGCAACAATGATGTCCACGTACACTTCCCAGAGATATTACTAAAAACAAACAAGGATCAAGAGTACTAAGGGAGTCAACTCGCTTCAACCCCTTAGAGATTCACTTACCTTGAATGGAAAGATTTGTGTGAACATAGAGTTAACACCAGCTAGGCAAATCAAACACCTAATCTAACCATGTTGAGGTAAGAAAAACCCTACCTCAAAGAACCTTGATCAATAAAAATGGTAAGTCTTAGCTTGCTTTACTTGTGCTAGTATTTTGAAATATCCAAATGGAGACTTTTAGGACTTGTGCTCTTTGGATACGATTTGAAGAAGTGGAATTGGGTAGAACAATTGAGGATAATGGTTTGAGAGAGAGCATGATGGGCAAGTAGGTGAATGAATGAGGAGGTTTGATTTGCAATCTGATCAAAAACATTAATGAGCTAAAGTTAAAAGAAAATGACATCACGCCTAATGTAAACATATGGTTGAAAATAAAGGAGACGTGTCAAAGAAAAATGTGTCATAAATGGCTATCTTTAATTGGCAAAAATTGTGGGTTTGAGATATGAGAGAATGAATGTGATTGAAAGATGCCATAAATATCAATGATCATGTGAAAAATATATGTGACTCATGTATAAACTAATTTAAGTTTGCGTAGCTAAAAGCATTTTGGGCAAGATCTTGACTATTATCCATGGCACATAGAGTCGTGTACATATATCGTGGCATCGTTCCTAATTTTAATGTGAATTTCGAATTTAAGGATTTATGTACCGGCTAGCACAGGTGAATCAAAATTTTTATTACTCTGATAGCTTTGAGTACAGTAAAATTAGAGCAACGAAGAGATGAAAAGGCACAAGTGACAATTTGGCCAAAGAAGCTAAAGATACTAAGGGTGCGTATGGTAACGTTTCTATTTCTGTGAACAATTTCCTTTCAGAAATAGTTTTTTCTATTTCTATTTCTCGGAAGAGTTTCTGAGCAAAATAATGCGTTTGGTAACTGCACAAAATTTCTATTTCTAGAACAGAAATGTGTTTGGTAACTGCACAAAATTTCTATTCCTGGAATATAAAAAGAACAGAAATGCGTTTGGTAACTGCACAAAATTTCTATTCCCAATTTTTTGCATTCAAATCTATATCTTTTATTTAACTATAAGTACAAGTTATAAGTGAAAAAAATCAATAACCATGATTTATTGGTTTGTCTAATCCTTTTTAGGGGTTTAAAACCCAGTTTAATCCCTAAACTAAGGAATCTTCAAAAATACCACTTGAGCACCTAAAAAATTTAAATTTCACTCAAAGTGGATGGCCACAGGTATTCTAAGCCATTATGTGAATTTTTTTATATTTTTTTGGGGTAAAATTTATTAAAATTTTTTACTTTCCCTAAATCTGTTTCTTTTTATTTTTCCGAAAATTTTTTATGAAATTTTTCTGATTTTTTCAATTTCGGAATTTGCAAATATTTAAGGGTTTTCTGAGTTTTTCTGATTTTTATGGATTTTCTGAGAATTTTTCTGATTTATATGAATTTTGGGAATTTTTTAATTTTCTAATTTTTTATGGGATTTTTCTGAAATTTTTCTAATTTTTATGAATTTTCGGAATTTTTAATTTATTCTAAGCCATTATGTGAATTTTTTATTTTTGATTTTTTTGGGGAAAAGTTTATTAAAACTTTTTACTTTCCCGAAATTTGTCTCTTTTTATTTTCCAGAAAGCTTTTTATGAATTTTTTAAAATTTTTTAAATTTCGGAATTTTGCAAATTTTTATGGGTTTTTTGAGTTTTTCTGATTTTTATGGATTTTCTTAGAATTTTTCTGATTTTTATGAATTTTTTGAATTTTTGAATTTTTTTTAATTTAATTAAGTTTTTATAATTTTTTTATTATTTCAGCCGAGAATGGACCGGACCGGTGCTTTGAGACGGTTTGCAGACGACGGAGGATGGAGGAGGAGCTGAGGTCGCGGCTTGAGGACCGGACCTTTCTATTTCTATTTCTATTTCTAGGAACAAAAAAGTAGATTTTTTCTACTTCTTATTTCTCGCTCCAAATCTATTTCTTGCCACTTTTCTATTCTAGGAAATAGAAAAATAAAATGCGATACTGCAACGGATTTCTGTTCTTTTTTTGTTCCAGGGAACAGAAGAACAGAAAAATAGAGAAACAGAAGCGTTACCAAAAGCGCCCTAAGGTTCCGTTTGTTTCGCTTAAAATAAATGATTTGGAAAACATTTCATTAAAAGTGATCGATTATATCACTTGAAATGATTAGTCGATGGAAATTATTTTCATTATATACAACACTTTATGTCTAAACATTTTTGTGGACAATGAAAATATTTTCCATTCATTAATTTTCATAAGCGAAACAAGTAATCATTTTTTTGAAAACTATTTTCAAATCATTCATTTTTCGCAAAATAAAAGAGCATAAATTGATGATTTTTGCCTAGAGATTCAAAACAACCTTTCTTGTGATTGGAAATGCATCCGAGGCCAAAGGCGAGCACATCAATATCCATTCAATTGCTTCATTACAACCGATCGGAAATTGATGATTTTGAAATTCCCAACTTCAAAGGTTGTTTTGCGAGCCTCTAGATCAGATTAGCCAACACATTGATGAAATATGAAGAATCGACACCAAGGTTTTCGAATTTCCGTTCCAGAATTTAGAAGATTATGAATCGAAAGATGAATTTTTAGGAGATTTTTGTTTTGAAGACTTGAATTGTGGTGGAAGAATTTCAAGTAAGTAGGAAAATTTGCCGAAGTCAACTTTGCATAAAACAATTCTCTATCATAGAACTTTGAAGGATCAATTACTAATAAGACTTCATTTGTTTCGTGAAAAATGAATGATTTGAAAAATATTATTGTAAAAATAATCACTTATATCGCTTACAAAATTAAATAAATTGAAAAATATTTTCACGTACGCGAAAATGTTTAAAGATAAGTTATCGTCCATAATGAAAATAATAATTAGTTACTAACTTCAAGCAATACAAGCGATCGTTTTAAGAAAATATATTTCAAATTATTCATTTTTCGCGAAATAAATGGAGTATACATTAAAAAATCTCTTGTGGGGAAAAGTGTGAGGATCACCGTGCAAAGTATGTCATTCTTGAAGACTCAAAAATAATAATTGGTTAATATCTTCAAGCGATACAAGCTATCGCTTTAGGAAAATATATTTTAAATTATTTATTTTTTCGCGAGACAAATGAAACCTGCGTTAAAAAATTTCCGTGTGATAACGCGTGTGGATCACCGTGCAAAGTATGACATTCATGAAGACTCAAAAATGGGAGGGTGAGTATCCTCTGATCGAGGTGATGGAGGAGAATAATGATGCGGAACCAAAAGGGTCATCCATATTTGCAATTTTGTTTTATTTACTTATGCATGCAATTTCTTATTTAAATATTTTAGGTGATGTTATTTCCTTTTAAATAATTATTTTGTTTAGATGTTAGATGATATATTTTGGGATTTTCGTTTCGAATTGTTTTTTTTTTCGGGGTTGGCGCAATTGATTAAGGTGTTGCGGGACTTCCAACTCAAGAGTTAAAAGTATCCCGTTTGTATTTCACCGACAGAAGCGTGCAACAAAGCCATTTACACAGGCCAAAGCCCTACCGGTTCATAGGACTCATAGATTGTTGCATTGGCCTAGAGCAGCTAGTTTTCCACGTACTCAGCTGTTGACACCTAATTTTTAGCTCATTTTTTTCATATTTTCAAAAATTTCAAAATTAGGTCTAGGAATCTTGGTCAAGCCTAGAAACCTATTTTTAAACCAAAAAATAATTTTTTAGCATTTTTCTGCATTTTTCCTTAATTTCTTTTAGTCAAAATAGGTGAGAAAATCAAGAAAAATAGCAAATTGAATCAGAAAATTCCATAAAAATATTCATTAGTTTTATTTTAAATCCAATTTCATGAATACATTGTCAATTTTGAAAAATTTCAATCGGGTATATGTTTTTCCCAAAATTGGGCAAA